TGTATGTATATACGTGTATGTGTGTGTGTGTGTGTGTGTGTGTGTGTGTGTGTGAGAGAGAGAGAGAGAGATACAGATCACATGGTGTCTGATCATGGAAGCAACTCTGGAATCCAAAGACCTTCTTTCCTTTCATTTCCTTTCACCCTTTCATTCTTGGTTTCTTTATCTTTAAAATAGCATGGAGGAAAGTCATCCCTGATGCTTTGGGCTCTTTGAAACAACAGGGTGTGTTTGCCCTTTGTGTTGTATAGACCCTTGAAAAATGTGAGGCACAGAAAACCCTGCTAAGCTGAGAGGCTGGGGAAGTTGAGTCACCTCTTACTGGCAGAACTCTTCTTTTTGTAGGCCCAAGGCCCTCAACTCCATGTCTCTGCACTTCCAGGAGAAAATATCACAGCACCTGAGCCTCAAGAAGAGGTAAGAAGGGGGCTGTGGCTGTGGCTCAGTGTAGAGTGCTTGCCTTGCATGTGTGGGGCACTGGGTTTGATTCTCAGCACCACATAAATAAATAAAATAAAGGTATTGTGTCCATCTACAACTAAATTTTTTTTAAGTATTAAAAAAGAAATAAGAGGTAAGGAAATCAGTGTGGATGGTGAGATTGGACACTGGATGGACAGGATTTGGCTACAAGCTGCAATTCTCACCACGGGCTACAAGCATAAGGGGAATCGAGCAGTAATATTCTTAGGGCAGGGTCAAGCAGGTGTGAACCACTGCCCAAAACTTGGCCTTAACCCAATCCTATCTCCTAAGTATTTACTTAATTATATCTGTACTTATTTCAAAAAGGAGTTTAGTAATACAAAAACATCATATATATTGTAATATATTTATAATCACACAATCATAATGTGGCAAAATAATTCCAAAGTATGAGACACAGAATAGTGATGTAAAATGGAGTCAGGAACTAAGCAAATACAGAAAATGCATTCTCTAAATTAATATTATTAAGGATGGGCCACAAAATTGGTCCCAGGTTTTCTAACATCTGACAGAAAAAGAAACACCTGATCAGTTCATCTAATTCATGTTGCCTGTTCCTTTGGAGACAACAGTTGCTACTACTAAGAAAAAATTTTTTCCTGTGAATCCTCATAAAAAGGCAAGTGGTACAATGACCAATATCTGCAAGAAGTCCTAACAGTAATCCTAACAACCAGTTTCATATCGTCTTTCTCAGTAGAGGCTAGTGGCATTAGATGAAATATAATTCAAGAAATTCCATTCACAATAGCCTCAAAAAATGCCCAAGAATAAATCTAACAACAACAACAAAATCTAACCAAAGATGTAAAAGACATCTACAATGAAAACTATAGAACATTGAAGAAAGTAATTTAAAAAGACTTAGAAGATGGAAAGACCTCCCATGTTCATGGATAGGCAGAATTAATATTATTAAAATGGCCATACTACCAAAGAAATATGAAGATTCAGTGTAATCCCCATCAAAATATCACTGACATTCTTCACAGAACTAGAAAAAACAATTCTAAAATTTACTTGGAAGAATAAAAGACCCAGAATAGCCAAAGCCAAAGCAATCCTAAGCCACAAAAGACAGTTTTGGAGACATCACAATATCTGACTTCAATTTATGTTACAGAGCTATAGTAACATAAACTGCATGCTACTGGCATAAAAACAGACACATAGACAAATGGTACAAAATAAAACTTACAAAGACAAACATTTATAGTCATCTGATCCTTGAAAAAAGTGCTAAAAATCTATATTAGAGAAAAGATAGCCTTTTTAACAATTGGTGCTGGGAAAACTGGTTAGAAAGATGTAAAAGAATGAGACTAGACCTTTATCACTGACCCTGTACAAAAATCAACTCAAAATGGACCAAAGACCTTGGAGTTAGACTAGAAACTATGCAACTCTTAGAAGGAAATGTAGGATTAACACTCCAGCATATAGACACCAGCAACGACTTTCTCAGTAGGACCCCTAAAGCTCAGGAAATAATGCCAAGAGTTAATAAATGGGATGGCATCAAATTATTTTCCTTCTGTAAATAATTAAGAGCATGAAGAGAGGGGGCTAGAGATACAGCTCAGTTGGTAGAGTGCCAGACTTGCATGTACAAGGCCCTGGGTTCAATCCCAAGCACCACCAAACAAAAACAAAACAAAAAATTTGAAGAGAGGACCTACAGAATGGGAGAAAATCTTTGCTAGCTACTTTACTGATAGAGGATTAATATTTAGAATATATAAAAAAAACTTTAAAAAATAAACAACACCAGGGGAAAAAACCCAATTAATAAATGGACAAATGAATTAAACAGACAGTTATCAAAAGAAAAAATACAAATGGCACGTGGTGCAAGCCTGTAATCCCAGTGGCTCAGGAGCCTGAGACAGGAGGATTGTGAATTCAAAACCACTCTCAGCAAAAACAAGGTGCTAAGCTACTCAGCAAGACCCTGTCTCTAAAATATATATATATATACAAAATAGGGCTGGGGATGTGGCTCAGTGGTCAAGTGCCCCTGAGTTTAAACCTCAGGACCAAAAAATAAATAAACACACACACATACAAATGGCAACAATATATGAAAAAATGTTCAATATTATTGGCAATTAGGGAAATGTAAATTAAAACTATAGATTGGGAGGCTGAGGCAGGAGGGTCTCGAGTTCAAAGTCAGCCTCAGCAAAAGTAAGGTGCTAAGAAACTCAGTGAGACCCTGTCTCTAAATAAAATACAAAATAGGGCTGGGGATGTGGCTTAGTGGCCAAGTACCCCTGAGTTCAATCCCTGGTAAACCCCCCCATCACCACTACACTGAGATTTCATCTCACAGCAGTCAGAATAGCAGTCATCAAAAGTACAAAACTGAGGCTGAGGTTGTGGCTTAGCGGGAGAGCGGTTGCCTAGCTCGGGTGAGGCCCTGGGTTCAATCCTCAGCACCATGTAAAAATAAATAAATTAATTAAAGATATTGTATCCAACTACAACTAAAAAAATATTTTAAAAAAGTATAAACACTAATAAATGCTGGAGAGGATGTGGAGAAAAGGGAATCTTTTACACTGTTGATGGGATTGTAAATTAGTACAACTACTATGGAAATCATTATGGAGGTTCCTTAAAAGATTAGTCATGGAGCCACCATATGACCCAGTTATTCCACTCCTCAATATTTATTCTAAAGAATCAACGTTCTCGTACTATAATGATAATGCAAATCCATATTTATAGCACCACAATTCACAATAATCAAACTATGGAACCAACCTAGATGTCCATCAGTGGATGATTGGATAAAGAAAATGTGGTATATATACACAATGGAGTTCTAGTCAACGATAAATAAAAATGAAATTATGTCATTTGCAGGAAAATGAATGGAACTTGAGACCATTATGTTAAATGAAATAAGCCAAACTCAGAAGGTCAAGGGTTATATGTTTTCTATCATATGTGGAAACTATAGAGGAAAAAGGAAAAGAGAGGTGATGGTGGTGGTGGTGGAGGAGGAGGAGGAGGAAGACTGATCCCATGGAAAGTAAAGGGAGATCAGTAGAATAGAGGAAAGGGGACTGGGGTGGGGGAAGAGGGGAGGGAGGGGGAAGTGCTGGGGAGGGATATTAGACAAATTATATTTCTGTATTGTGTGCATGTATGAATATGTAACGACAAATCCCACCATTATGCACAACTAAAATGCACCAATAAAAAATGTGGAAGAAAATACAATTCAAGATAAAGAAATCAAGAGGTTGAAGGGAGGGCAGATCAGCATCTAATGCAAACATATTTTTTTCCAGATATCTGTAAGTCAAACTGCACAACTCTGAAGAGAAACTGCCAAGACCTCCTCTATACATGTCTCCCCAGAGGAACTCCTTAACCAAAGGGGATAGGTCAAGGGGTATAACCACGCATTCATTTCCAGATGCTCAGGCAGTGTAGATGCTGGTCATCTCCAAGACCTGGCATTAATGGATGCTGAGGAGCAGCCTTAGAGGAGGGTGGGAGGAAGGGATGGGGTGGGGAATGGGAGGAAGGCAGGCTTGGGAGAGGAGAATATCAGACTCTGGTTTTAATCTTAAAAGAATAAGATTTTATGTGTTTCAATGGGGCTATTGTGACTATAAAAAGCAGAAGTATCTGTAGACACATACTTGTCCACAGAGAGATAAATAACCACACATACTCAGAGGATAGTGGACAAATTTGTGTCTGACTTACCACTCATTTTGCAGGACTTAAAACCAAAGACAGGTTTTCAGATTGCTAAATAAAGTGTGATTTTGACTATATATGGATTCTTTGTTTGACAATGCAGCACACTGTTTTCCACTTAGATATGGGTGTTGATTTTGCCCTTAGGTACAGGTGTTGATTTGCCTCAGACAAATTTAGTCATATCCCTGACCCCCAGTTCACTCTGCCTCCTGGCTGTACCTCTTTTTAATGGTGCCTCTCTTCAATCCAGATACATTACTGCATATACTGGGGTTGTATTTTAGAACTGTATCTGGGGTTTGCAATTAAGTACTTGGTTCAAATAAGAATCTGAGCAAGATGGAAGAAGATATGAAACTCCACAGGATGGGGAAGGATACAAAATATAATATAGTGGAAATAGGATTAAATTTAGAGCCAGAAGTACTGGATTCAAGTCCTACCATTTGCTTTCTATGAAAATATTTGTGAAAAATAAGTAACTCTGAAGTCCTACCACCTTGATAAATACATGTTCACATGTCAATGCCCTTCCATCCTTGTTCTTGTCAAGGGTGATGATGTCACTATCTGTTCAATCATTCAGCAAGTGTGTATTGAGCAGCTCTGTGCCAAGTACTGAATACCAGTACTAAGTAATAGAGAAACATTGATGAGGAAGGAAATGTGATCTTTAAAGAAGCAATAAGAGGCTGGGTATGGTAACTCATACCTAAAATCCCAGCAGTTCAAGAGGCTGAGACAGGAAGATCACAAATATAAGGCCAGCCTGGGCTGTTTAGTGAGACTCTTCTCAAAATAAACTGGACAGTAGGAATTGGAGGAAAAGAGATGTGGATTTGGAGAAGTCTGCAGCCAGCTTGCTCCTCGAGGGCTCATCAGTCATCCCACATAGAGGAAGAAGAAAAATAAATAAATAAAAAGGATTGGGGGTATAGGTTAGTGGTAGACATCCCTAGTTTCAATCCCCAGTACTGCAAAAAATAAAAAAGCAGTGAGAACATTGAGCAGAGAAAGGAACAGTCAGGATTTAATGATGGGTTAGACATGTTATAGACACTGAGGTTTTAAAGAATTATTCTGGGTTAAATTTGAGAGACTAGAATGTGGTGGTGTCATTTTCTGAAACAGTGACTGTAGAAGGAAGCATATTTATCCAGGCCCTCCAGTTGCAAGTTTACTGCCCAGTGGGGGAAAGAAGCAGTAACTGCTACAAGTGAGGTGCAAATGAAGTGGAAATTAAGCAATAAAGGATATGTTGGCAGGAGAGTAGGCCGCTCCTAGAACAAAGAATAGTCAGGTTGGAGAAAGGACAAGAGCCAGCTCAGGGGTGCCTGCAGCAGGAATGTGAGGATTGCCACTTGAAGACTCAGCTCCAGCTACCTCCTGGCCCCATGTCTTCTTCAGATCCACATTCCCCAAAGAAAAATATCTGTGTGGCCCAACTGGTATTATGAGCCCATCCTATGGCTAGGGAAATGGGGAACTGTGACTGGCTTTATTATAGGATGGGGAGGTGCAGGGCACAACATGACCAGTTGGTATAGTCCATAATGCTGGGAATAAGACAAGTGGTAATGAGGATGGTAGATTATAAAAGAGCACAGGCAACTTTTAGGGATGGTAGAAATGGTCTTAATTTTTATTTTGGTGATATGGTAATGTATATATACATGTGTTGGAGCTTATCAAATTGTGTATTCTTTGTGCAATTTATTATGTATCAATTATGCATTGAATAAGCTATAAAAACAAACCATTGCTGGGTGCAGTGGCTTGGGAGGTTGAGACAGGAGGATCATGGATTCAGTCCCAGCAATTTAGTGGTCTTAAATAACTCAGGGAGACCCTATCTCTAAATAAAATATAAAAAGGTGTCTGGGGATGTGGCTCAGTGGTTAAGTGCCCCTGGGTTCAATCCTTGGTACCAAAAAAAAAAAAAAACAAACAAAAAAACCTATGTGTGCCCTAAAGAGAATTGGAATTTGAGGGTTGGGGTTGTGGCTTAGTGGTAGAGCACTTGCCTAGCATAAGTGAGACACTGGGTTCTATCCTCAGCACCACATAAAAATAAATAAATAAAGGTATTATGTCCATCTACAACTAAATAAATATATAAAAAAAAAGAATTGCAGTTTGAAATACTTGTAGAATTTTCCAGTAGATGTGACTGTAAGGGAGCTGGTAATACATGTTTCTATTTAGGAGTAATTTTTCCACTTTATTTTTATCAAGCATTACATAACATACTGACTGCATACTACATAATATGCTGCATAGCTTTCTAGCAAGTGTAGATGACCGTAACTGAGTTATTTTTCATTAGTCAGGAAAAAGCTTCCAAACGCTTTGAGCAACAATTAACTCCAGAGATGTGCCTATCTCTTTCCTTCAGATTTCACTGATCTGGGTAACAAGCAGCCCCTTTTCCTTGCCCCTTTCTGGGAACTTGTGGATGTATGCAGTGGCCACTCCCAGACAAGCAAACTCACACCCATGATGGTGAGTCTAGGAAGAACCCTGAACCACATCTCCATGAGCCTAAGTGAATCAAAACCCTGAGTAGTCATTTTTCTAAAATCTGATATTGTATTCTTTAAAAAGAGTAACCATTCAAAGGATTTCTGCCATGTACAGCAGTAAATGGGAAGAGGTTGTATGGCCCTGTGGAGAGGAGGGTTTTTAAAAATGTAAAAGCCCAAAAAAAAAAAAAAAAAATGTAAAAGCCCTACTGCCTACTAGAAAACAGCCCCTCCCTTGGGATTCAGAATCACTGCTGGGAGTGACACACAGGGATATTGGAAGGGTAGAGGGAAAGCTACGAATACAGGATTCTCCCTGTGCAAGCCCCTCACAGGTTCATCTGGCAAAATCCAACTCAAGTCTTTTGTCTCCAGGGCTTTGCTGGTCCTCATCTCCCCAGGAAATGGATCTTCTTTGGGGAATGTACCAAAGCAGACTTCTAGGGACTGATTTACTGCCCAGTGGGGGAAAGAAGCAGTAACTGCTACAAGAGAGGTGCAAATGAAGTGGAAATTTTCACTAAATTCTGAGATTGGTACTTCATTTGAAAACAACCCTATTGAAGGCTCTTAGGAGGCAGGGAAATAGCCAGTCTGCTTGTAAGGTGAACAGTTTGGTTGGGTACCAAATGATTTCCCTTGATTTACAAAATGTTAACGTTGTCCAGGGGAAAGGCTGCAGCTTAGAATACTGCCATCCTGGCAGCAGCACAAGATGGGCTGAAAGCCAATAAAATTAGGTGGAGATGAGTATAAAAATTAGGTGGAGCCAGGCACAACAGCACACTCCTGTAATCCCAACGGCTCAGGAGGCTGAGGCAGGAGGATTGAGAGTTCAGAGCCAGCCTCAGCAATTTAGTGAGGCCCCATACAACTCAGCAACACCCTACTTCTAAAATACTAAAAAGGACTGGGGATGTGGCTCAGTGGCTAGGCACCCCTGGGTTCAATCCCCATTACCATAAATAAATAAATAAACAAATACATGAAATAAAAACTAGGTGGTGGGCTGGGGATGTGGCTCAAGCGGTAGTGCGCTCTCCAGGCATGCGTGCGGCCCGGGTTCGATCCTCAGCACCACATACAAGCAAAGATGTTGTGTCTGCTGAAAACTAAAAACTAAAAAATATTAAAAAATTCTCTCTCAAAAAAAAAAAAACCACTAGGTGGAGATGAGTGTCTTCTTGTCCTCCGTTCTGAGGTCTCTGGAAATCTGTTGATAAAAGGATAGCTGCTGTAGCTTCTCAGGCTTAATATTTAATCCTCAGAGAGCATTGGAAACTCACCACCACATGAGACTTCATTCATCAGCCACTGTAAGCATCTTTTTTTTTTTTTTTTTTTAAAGAGAGGGGAGAGAGAGAGAGAGAGAGAGAGAGAGAGAGAGAATTTTAATATTTTATTTTTTAGTTTTCGGCAGACACAACATCTTTGTTTGTATGTGGTGCTGAGGATCGAACCCGGGCCGCACGCATGCCAGGCGAGCGCGCTACCGCTTGAGCCACATCCACAGCCCCACTGTAAGCATCTTAATATAGAATTACTTGCAGGTTCACCATCCAGTCCCTGCCCTCTAGCAATCTAAAGGAAAATATTGATAGGCTAGGTCATACAGAGAACCCTAGAAATATGCCATATTCCAGCTTAATAGGATATATCAAAGAGCATAATACCGCTTACAAATTTTTTTAAAAATCTTTTTTCATTATGGTTGGATACCATACCTTTATTTTATTTACTTATTTTTTTAACATTTATTTTTTAGGTGTAGAAGGACACAAAACAATGCCTTTTATTTTTATGTGGTGCTGAGGATCAAACCCAGTGCCCCACAAGTGCTAGGTGAGCACTCTATCGCTGAGCCATAACCCCAGCCCTATAATTTTTTTTAATACAACAAATTGGGTGCATATGGGGTCTTATTTTTCTGCATGTTTACACTTTTAAAATGAATTATGTGCCTGCAATAAAAAATCATGTATGAGCAAAACTTTTAAGGTTATATTTTAAAGAGGAAAAAAAAAACCCTACGTATGAGAGATCATTAGCAACCATCAATAAAATTGTGAAAGTGACAGAAAATCAGTAGGAGTCAGTTGGGCCACTTGCTAACAGAGAATGCTGTAGGAGAGACAAACCCAGATACAAGAAAGATCCCAACATTTCCTACAATTCATGGTCAACTGGTTAGCCAAAATAAATGCAAGCAATTGTCTTCCTTTGGAATGTAGCCCTTAGGGTTTGAATTTCCTTTTCTCTTGGATATTTTCTTATCTGAGGTAGCTACGGTGAACTTCTTTTTATTAACTAATGTACATCTTGCCTACATGCCACATTGTTGCCTTTCTTGGTTGAATTGACCATTTCCTACACATGAACTTCTTCCTAGCTGATACTGCCTTACCTTTAAAAAATATGAAGTGAATTTCGTCAACTTTTTCTTGTTTCCCCTTTTCTTCTTTTTGCTCCTGTTTTTTTTAAATCAACTAACACTTATGAATGAAAACAATTACTCTTGTTTTACTATTTTTTTTCTCACTTCATGCCTTTTTCTCAGACTTTCAGTCTTTATTCACCAGATGAATACCCACAACCTGATGGCACCTGTCTTTCTAATCATCTATATAAATATTGATTCTCAAATCTGTAGAACTTAAAGGAATAAGGAATAAGCACAATAGTCTATATCACTGGGATGGAAGGCAGAATAACTACAAGAAGTCCAACTCTAAGTGGATGGCCAGGATAACAATAGCTAATGTTTATTAAGCACTTACTAGGTGCCAGGTAAGGCTCTAATGCTTTGTATGAATTAACTTATTCTATCCCCACAGTAATGCTATGGTGAGACAGGTATTCCCCCGGGAAAAAGAAATGAAACAGAAGCAACTTGTCCAAAATTACACAGCAGAGCCAATTCTACAGCCTGTGTTGTATACTATTACATCCTCTTACTCATTGGGGTACTCTGATTAATGTGGGAACATTTCCTGCCACAAAGAAGTGAGTCAAAAGGGAGCTAAAGTATGGTGCTAGTTAACATTTATATTAAGGTGCTTACCATGTGCTAGAACTGTGGCTGTGTAATGGCTTTATAGGCAATGATCACTTTCAAATCTCCTAAATTCTGCTAGGAAACAGAATTTGGAGGTGTTAACTTGTCCAGAGTCACACAGCTAGCAAGCAGCGGAACTGGGTCTGTTTGAATCCAAAGTCCACGACACTCTTACCCTCCACACTACACTGCCTCGGTTGATTGTTGAACAAGGAAGATCTGGGTGAGGCCTCGTTTCTGTGCCTACCTCATTTGCAATGTCTCACCACCCGCGTGTGTGCCTCCTAAGTTAGCTTACAGTCCAAGTTTCGGGACACCAGACAATTTGCATAAATGATACGCAAACCAGGTATATGTAATTTTCCACACTTGCTGAAAATTCAAATTACGTCAACCCCGGGGAGACCCGACGGACCTCAGTTAGCAGGGGGTTCAGATCCCATCTGCTCTGGAGCCTCTCTGGGCGAGAGAGGAAGCGGCTCCGGACGGGGAGCACAGTGACAATTGGAGAAGGGAAGGCAGCCTTTCCTCCCCAGGGAGCAGAGGCGGTCCTGCGGGCAGAGGGAACCTGCAGAGGGCGGTTTCTGTCCTCTTTTCCTGTCCCACCCAGGCGGCCTGGCCCCCACCCCCACTCTGGCTGGCCTCCGCCGCTAACTCTGCGCGTCTGTCCTCGGCTTCCTCCCGCGCGGGGTCCTCCGCCCGTCCCTCTCGCTCGGCCTCTCCGAGCCGCCGCGAATCTCTGCGGTTCCCGCCCCCGTCGAGTTCAAAAGGACCCGCGGAGCGGCGTCGGGCCCTGCCCGGCAGCCTGTCCGACTGGTAAGGTGAGCACGCGGAGGAGGGGACCTGGGGAGGCGGGAGGGCTAGGCGAGCGCGGTCGCCCACACTCAATCGGCAGTCACCTCGGCCGCGGCAGGAACTGAAACCGAGAGCGGCCCGAGCTCGGCGTCCCGGGACGCACGGCCCCGCCGCCCGGCGCGCACCGGCGCCCTTCTGCTCGCGGAGCCCTTCCGAGTGTCGGTAACTCAGGAGGGCTGCGGGGTGGGGAGCGGCGGCCCTCCGGGGCGAACACCCAACCCTCACGGTCCACGCATGACCCTCGACGTCCGCGGAGTTTGAGGGGGGTCCCTGGATGAGGGAGTCACAGGTTGGGGTTCCGCAAGGGCGCGCCAGTGGGTTCGGTGGGCTGTGCGCGGACGGCGCACTGGACAACGAAGGCAGGACTGTGGGGAAGCGGACCAAGCACGGAGAAGCTGGGGTTTGAGACCGGCCGGAAGGCATCTGGGGGCCCCCTGCATCCCGTCTTGGTGTCTGATGGTCCCCCTGCCCCCACCCCGCGGGGCCTGACCCTGTCGGCCCTCTTCTGACACCTAGTGGTTGGCTCCGCCCAAACTCCAGGCTGTAGCAGTCCAGGTACCTGTAGTCGCGCTTTGGCATTTGCAACATTTTGCCTAACTTTTTCGGCTCTTAAGAGGTTTCTTAGGTAAAAGTTGGGGGCCCTGTGAACGGGTCGCAAAGGTGGCACACCCCAGATACGGGGGACCCCGGATCTGCTCTTGGAGAGAGATTGTTACCTGGAGCCTGAGGAGATACTCAGAGAGACCCAAAGAGAAGGGTTGAAGACAAGCGAGCTGTAAGGGAAAAAGGAAGTGGGGAAGGGACTCCAGAAAACCTGGCACCAAAGGAATCTCCAGGCCCACCCACCTCATTACTGACTTTTTCCTTCTTCCTACAGATCTGCCTCTCCTGCAAGGTACTTAACCCTTGGCAGCAATGACTGACCTCCCGACTACGCCTTCTCCTGGAGGTAGGTGAAGGCCTTGCCTAACCCAGTAGCAAGAGAATTGTTCTACCTCTCCTACCCTTAGACTAGGCCTGGAATTCTCAGAGGCCTCAGCCCTCCCTGCTTGCCTCACACAAGAAAACGTCCTGGAAAGCAGGAGGCTACAGAGTGTGCCCCTTAGGGCAGTTTTATTCTGAAGTCTCCTGGACCAGGAGAGTTCTGGCCCTACTACTTAAAGCTTTATAACCTTGACTTTATGAAGTTCTTTATAAGCCTAAAGGAGCAGCTTTACATTCACCCCTCTAATCATTCATAGGTGTGGCAAAGAGTGTGGCAGCAACCCCCATAATTAAACATGGAAAAGGAACCTTTCAAACATAGGGAGGCAAAAGATAGTATAGCTAACCTTTAAGTTCCAGTTTCCTGGTTTGTAAAATAAGGAAAATTTTATGAGACTCTTTGTCCAGTTAAATGAGATAGTCCATATAAAACACCTAGAACAATGCCTAGTATCTAGAAAGCTCTAGTAACATTGAGTACTAGTTAGAAACCCACCTTTCCCTGGAAAGGGATTCTATCTTCTAATTCCACTCCACTTACACAGACCCAGTATCAAAACCCCATTGTTGGGGATAGTAGAGGATAGGAAAGGCAGCAGAATACAACAGACACTAGTATGGTAATATGTAAATCAATGGATGTGTAACTGATGTGATTCTGCAATCTGTATACGGGGTAAAAATGGGAGTTCATAACCCACTTGAATCAAAGTGTGAAATATGATATATCAAGAACTATGTAATGTTTTGAACAACCAACAATAAAAATTAAAAAAAAAAAAAAAAAACCCCATTGTTCCCTGGAAGTATGCTCTGGCAGAGATCTACCTCATGACACTGAAAATGGATTCCCAGCTTCCGTTTTATAATCAGGCTGGGTCAAACAAACTATGAGATATTTACGTTTCTGGTTTTTTTTTTTTTTTTTTGGTACCGGGGATGGAACTCAGGGGCACTCAACCACTGAGCCACATCCCCAGCCCTATTTTGTATTTATTTAGAGACAGGGTCTCACTGAGTTGCTTAGCGCCTTGCTGAGTCTCCCAAGCCACTGGGATTACAGGCGTGAACCATTGCACCTGGCTATTGATTGCTTTTTGCTAGACAGGGTGAGAGAGGAAGAACTGCTTGGCCTATATTCCTTCATTTTCATATGCAGACTCATTTGTCATTAGAACCAACATTCCTGTTTATTGATATGAAAATGGGCAAATGATAACCCCCAGGGAAGTCCAAGACAGTGTCTCCTATGAATGGTGATGAATACAGTTCAGACTTGTAGTTGTCTGGTGAGAAGGCTAAGAAAAAGGAAAAAATGAGCAAAAGTCTAGCTCAATCCACTGAGACCCCTCAGTGAGAAAGGGATCTGAGCATCTTTGGCAGGATGTGATTGTTTGTTCAGGCAAAAAGGGATGCATCTAAATACATCATTTAGATGATGGTAGTGCCATGTGTGAAGCTATAGAGACTGCAGCTTATCCAGAAGGGTGTTCAGCAGGAGAGGACAGGGGACTTCCAGAATGAACTGCCCATTGGGGAAAAGAGGTGATACTTGGGCAGTTGGCATGGCTGGTTAAGAGCTGAGCAAAGGGGAACCATTTACATTTTTTTCTTTCTTCCTTTTCAAAAATATATGATAAAATATAAATACTACAAGTGTTAACATTTAACCATTTTTGTGTGTATCTTTAGTGGTATTAAGTATAAACATTGTTGTGCCACCATCACCACCATCCATTCATCTTCCCAAATGAAACTCCATCCCGGTTTAAACATTGACTCCCCATTCTCTCCTCCCCTGACCCCTGGCAACCACCATTCTACTTTCTATTTCTATGAATTTGACTCTTCTGTGTACCTTATATAAATAGAGTAATATAATTTTAGCCCTTTTACGTCTGGCTTATTTCACTTGGCATAATGCCTTAAAGCTTCATCCATGTTGTAGCATCTGTCAGAATTTCCTTCCTTTTTAAATCTGAGTAATAGTCCATCATATGTATATGCTACATTTGGTTTATCCATTTATCTGTTGGACCCTTGGGTTGCTTCTACCTTTTGGCTATTGTGAATAATGCCGCTTTGAACATGGGTATTCAAATATCTGTCTAAGTCTCTGATTTCAGTTCTTTTGGATATATAACTGGAAGTGAAATTGCAGTATTATGTGGTAATTCTATGTTTAATTTTTTTTTTAAGAACCACCATGCCATTTTTCCTTGTGGCTATTCCATTTGACATTCGTACCAGCAATGTACAAAGGTTCCAATTTCTTCATATCTTATCAACACTTATTATTTTCTAGGGTTTTTGGAGTAGTCATACTGGGTGTAAAGTAGTATCTCACTGTGGTTTTGATTCACACTTCCCTAATAATTAGTGATGCTGAGCATCTTTTTGTGTACTTATTGGCCATCTGGATATCTTTGGGAAAGTGTCTGTTCAAGTCTTTACCCATCTTTTAATTGAGTTGTTATATTGTTGTTTTGTTGATATTTACATTCTTGACCCAATGAGTGATATTTTAGGACATATCAATACCTACCCACAGGGTCCAAGCAAATGTAAGTTCAGGAACAGAAATGGAGAAAAGAATAGCAATCACAGGGGCTGGGGTGGTGGCTCAATAGTAGAGCACTTGCCTAGCATGTGTAAGGCACTGGGTTTGATTCTTAGCACCACATAAATAAATAAAGGTATTAAAAAGAAGAAGAAGAATAGCAATCACGGACAGGAAGACAGCTTATTCTTTGAAGGATGAGATCAAGGGTCCAGCTTTCCACTCCACCCTTCCTGCCAATGCCTCCTCCACATCCCTCTGCCCAAACTGTAGAGATATCCTAAAGGAGATATCCTTCAGGGGTGGAAAGTAAGACTGATTTATAACCTTTCTGGGCCCTTGGCACATTTGCCTTTGTGTGCTTCTTCATTTAAAAAAAAGTTAAAAATCGTATTTTATAACTGCATTGGCATAAGGAAGATATAATAATATTATCTATCTATAGTTAATAATCAATATAGCAACATTAATATTATTTAACCTAAAATTTGTTGTTTCTACTCATTTTAAAGGAAATTAAAATTAAAATCATTAAAAAGCATTTTCATGGGCCCACAGAAGTGCTGTGCACCCTAGGCACCTTGCCCAGTGCAGAAGTCAGCCCTGTTAGAAACAGGACAAATGGAACTTTGCCTTGGTGGGCTCTGCCCACCCCACCAGGGAAAGCCCATCTCTTGCCACCTAATAATCATATTAGCTACCTCCCAGGTCACCCTCACGATTTTAAGATACTTAGCATTTTTCTCCTTCCTTCTTTCCTCCCTTCTTCCCTTCTTTTCTTTCTTGAATTGAACCTAAGGGTACTTTATCACTGAACTACACCTCAGCCTTTTATTTTTAATTTATTTTGAGACAGGGCCTTACTAAGTTGCTGAGTCTGGACTCCAATTTGTAATCCTCCTGTCTCAGCCTTCCAAATCACTGGGATTACAGGCATTTTTCATTGTGCATATTCCTTGTCACAACCTGTGAGGCAGGTTTTATTCTCATTTTACTGAAGCAAAAGCCAAGGTTCAAGAAAGTTAAGAAATTTTCAGTGATTAAGAGAATTTCCCGGGCTGGGGATCTAGCTCAGTTGGTAGAGTGCTTGCCTCACATGCACAAGGCCCTGGGTTCAATCCCTAGCACCACCAAAGAGAGAGAGAGAGAGAGAATTTCCCAATATGGTACAGTTAATCATGACAGGCAGGATTTTATGCCAAATCTGTCTCACTCCAAGCCTGTGTTCTTTCCGTCATGGTCTACTGCTCCCAAGGTCTCACTCCACCCCACTGTCCACTCAGCACACATGAAAGAGAAGGAAGGAGAAGGGACAAAATTCCAGGGTGGATTCCCACGGTAAGGAGAACTGGGGGAGTCGCCTTTTTTGCTGGGCAGGTCTAGAGCAAATAAGTAGGTTGGCAGCCTCAGGAGGCAACAGATCTGATGCCTCGGTGATAAGAGCTTTAGTTCCACCTCGGAACAAGGACCACAAAGAAACCAGCCAGTATCTGTGTCAACAAGAAGACTGAATGAACAGAATAGATCTTAAAGGTCATTTGCTGTTGGTTGGGACTTGGGTGGAGCCTTTAATCTTGTTGTGGTCCTCTGCCCTGGCCTCCCACCTATAATAAAAATGGTCCTGGGGGGGCTGGGGTTGTGGTTCAGTGGTAAAATTTTTGCCTAGCACATGCGACGCCCTGGGTTCGATCCTCAGCACCACATAAAAATAAATAAAATAAGGTATCGTGTCCAACTACAACTAAAAAATAAATATTAAAAAAAAATGGTCCTGCAGTCTTCCCAAACCTAAGAAGGGAAGGTAGAGAATAGCATTATTATTTCTTTGTTTGGACAAGTTGACAAGAAAAAACTGGAAAGGAACAGAAGATAATGGGGGGAAGGTTTTAATCCATTCCCCCTCCCTTTTTTTAATACTTTTATTTTATTTATTTATTTTTATGTGATGCTGAGGATTGAATCCAGGGCCTCACGCATGCTAGGCAAGCGCTCTACCACTGAGCCACAACCCCAGCGCCCCCAAATCCCTTTTTTTAGGTGCTGGAGATGGAACCCAGGGCCTTGCACATGCTAAGCCAGCGCTTGGCCACTGAGCTCACCCAAGCATGTTGCTTCCCTTTTCATGCCAGGCTTCCTGAACTGAGTTTACTTTGTTGTTGTTGTCTATTTTTTTCATTTAAAAATTAATACATGTTGGCTGGGTGTGGTGATGCACACCTGTAATCCCAGAGACTCAGGAAGCTGAAGCCAGAGGATTGCAAGTTCAAGGCCAGCCTCAGTAATTTGGTAAGCCAATTAGCAACGTAGTGAGACCCTGCCTCAAAATAAGAAATAAAAAGGATTGAGGTAAAGCACCCATGGGTTCAAGCCCCAGTACCAAAAAAAAAAAGCCCCTTAGTGAAAGC